GAGGCAGAGACCCTGAATAGGACAGAGATCCATGAATTGATTAAAATGGCATCCGGATCTTGTCCTTGATGAGCAGGGCACAGCACTGGAGAGCAAAGGTTCTCTTCTTTTCTCAAGTATTACTTTTTTGCCATTTCTTTGCCCCTTCAAGGTTGCCCTTGATATTTACTTAAACAAGATTCACAAGGATACTAAATGGGTGGCCCAGAACATACATTTGGCTGATTCGAGGCCTGGCACTGCTCTAGGGAAGGCCCTGGATATTCCCTTTTAAAAGATTCCAAGAGAGCCGTTAGGTTAAGCAAACTAGTCTGCTTCAATCAATTTGACGACCACAAAGGAATCATTGTAGCAGAAGTAGAAAGTAAATAGCAAATAGCAAATCCTGGGCTCTTTGATATGCACCCAAAAGATTACAATCAATAAAAGCAAAGCCTTCCTACCATTTCCTTCTCTTCCCTGCTCCCCCCGCCCCCATCTTGGAATATTTACATTATAGGCTTAACATAAGCTTAGCTTAAAAAAAAAAAACCAGCCCACACATCTTTTTTCTTAGAGTCCATTCACTCCCTCAGTCCCGCCAGTTTTCCTAACTTCGGTTCAATATTAGCCCCAAGCTAAGGAAAATGTAGATAAAATATCCCCAGCTGTTTTCTCTTCATGTGCAGCAGTGATAACTTTCCTTCAGTCCTAGGCTAGGACTTAGTAGGCCAGGCCGAAGTAACAAAGAGAAGGGGCCTGCCTGGTTTTGGTTGGAAAACCCCGTCCCCTTGTTCTTGCAGACAGCGATCGGAGCTTAGCTCTACTCTCCACCCCAAAAACCCAGTTCAAAGATGCTCTGGACCGGTCTATCTCCATAAAGCCCAGGGAATCAGAGTTCCCCCTCCCCTCAAAGGCAAGCGAGGAGGCGTCTTGTGTATTCACTGCCTACTTGGGTCGTCCTACCTGAAGAGGGATGGGGAAAAGGGGGAGGAGGATGGGGGAGAGGACCAGAGGATCCTGATCTCCCTGCACCGAGAAGAGGGAGGATGCTATTTGGAGGCCCAGGGACTTTGACCTTTGTATGCACATGCAAAGGGAAATGCTCGTGGTCGTGGGACGCAGGGGCACTTTCAGTGGTCCTGCCTCAGAAGGGGAGAAGAGGGAAGAGAGAAGAGGGAGGTCTGTGCATCACTCACCTCCTGAAGTCAAAGGGCATGTTGGTGCCGGCCCCTGGGAGGGGGGACGGCCCCGAGACTGCAGGGGACCACGGCCGGGCTAGGGATGCGTGGGTTCGGCGCCCGCCCCCTCCCCCGGGCGTTACTCTTCAAGCCTTGCCGGCTTCCTAGCCGGGAAGTGACGGGGCTTTAGGACGCTTTGCACCAGCCCATTGGGTGCTGGCGGGAGACGCTGGAGCGGCTACTTCCGCTGCCCAGTTAAAGGGGCCCCGGGAGCAGGTTCTGCTGGAGAACACGTGGGGATCCCGCTGAGAGAGGCGGGCTTGTCGATACGCTGTATTGCAGCGCGGGAAGGGTAGGGGGCTGCGGGGCAGGGGGCGGGAAATGTTGTGTTCAGTTCGCTTTGTTTCTCCGTCCCTGACCTTCTCCCCCCACCCCCCACCCCCGCCAACACACACACACACCTCCTTGGTCTTGTCTTGGTGGCACACAGCCTTCCAAATGTTCCTCCTCTCTGCGCAAGGGCAGGTAGTCCACAATCCTCTGATGCTGTCCATCACCCTCCCCTTCCCCCTTCAGGTAGGAGGACCCACGGAGATAGAGTGCACACAAGGACAGCACCGTTGGCATCCCGATTTCGGACATTTTTTCTAGTTGACCTCATCTACCTCCTGGCTTTCCTGACTTCCTTCAAGTCCCAGCTAAAATCCCACCTTCTACGGGAAGCCTTTCCTGCTCTCTTTTTAATTTTTTTTATTTTAAAAATGTTTTTTTTAATTAAAAAAAATTTTTTTACAAGATCTCTCTTAATGCCAATCCCTTTACTCTGTTAAATTGGTCCCAATGTTTGTACCTAATTGTATTCGTATTCTCTCCCTTATTAGACTGTGAGCCCCTTGAGAGTAGGGCCTGTCTTTTTAGTCCTTTGTTTCCCCATTGTTTCCCCAACGTTTACCTCGCTGCCTGATGGCGCCTAGCACATTGTTATTGGAGTCGCTTCAGTTCTAAGCGATTCTAAGTGTCTCACTTGGGGTTTTCTTGGCAAAGATACTAGAGTGGTTTGCCATTTCCTTCTTCAGCTTATTTTGCAGATGAGGAAATTGAGGCCAACAGCGTTAAGTGACTTGCCCAGGGTCACACAGCTAGTAAGTGTATTAGGCCAGATTTGAACTCAGGAAGATGTTTCTTCCTGATTCTAAACCCAGTGCCCTATCCTCTGTGCCTCCTAATAAGGGTAATAAATGCTTATTGACTGTCTGAAAGTGAGGACACAGTTACTTGGGGCTTTATGGAGGTGGAAAATGGGTTCAGCCTCTGTAGGGACTCATGCATTAAGGTGAGGGGTCCGTACACCTGTAATTGGCCTCTTCCTTGGGAGCCAACCAGTGTGCCCCAGTCATTGGGGAAAACTTGACAACCCAAGAGACTGGGAACTCCTGTCACCACGTGCTTAGGTCTGGCTGATGTTAAAAAAGAAAAAAAAGCTTCTCAGTCCTTACTCTCCTCCTGAGGGGAGTCTAAAAGAGTCATTGTGTAGAGTTAGGCTAGCTGGCCCACGACAGCTGAGTGGAAAGATCTGGCCCATTCTCTATATTCCACTTTGTATGTAAATGAGCCTTGTAGTTAGTACCCCACCTTTAACCCTGGGGCACCTTCATTTACCTGAGCCAACTCCTCTGCCTGCCACCCACTCTTTCTCTTGTTTTTGTTCAACAAATATAATATTGAGTACCTGATTGTACCTTGTCCCTGTGATGGGATGGATATTAAGAGGCATAATCCTATTTCCCTGTCCTAAAGTGAGTCTAGTTAGGAAAGACAAGTTTTATACACACTTAATAAAAATTTATTATGAAAAGTTTAATATAATAATAGCAATAGTAGTTTGCCTCTCTAAAGGCTTTAAAATTCTATTTTCCCTACAATAGTTCAGTTAAGGTAGGTATTAATAAACCAACTAGGACTTACCAAGTACTTTCTTTCTATCAGGCACTGTACAGTAGCATTGCCCCCCTCTTAGGAAAATGAGGTTTAAGAGGTGAAGTGAATTGCTGTGATAACATAGGCAGCCATCTGACAAAGCAGTCTCGAATTTATGTAGGCTTAGAATTATTAAGCATTTAAGTGCATAGCACAATGCTAGGCACTAGAGGAGAGGTAAAGATTAAACTAAGAGAGTCCCTCTCCTCATGGAGCTCACAGTTTAGTGAGGGGCACCACACAGACACAAATAACTATAACATACCAGTCTATCTTTCCTCAGTCCCTCCAACATTGACTATTCCCAAGTCATTCTTTTTACTTACTACCTAGGTGACCTGGTACAAGTAATTTTGTATCGCCTAACCTCAGTTTCCTCGTTTTTGAACTGAGAGGTTTGGTAGATTCTATGAACCAGAAGTTTTAAAAGAAAGTTTCCTAGTCTAGTTTTGCAGTAGGAATCACAGAATTTCTGAGATCATCTTCTAGTCCAATCCCTTTCACTTCATCCAAATGCAACTGTCTGTTTTTCTCCTGAAGATTCCCTTGGGAAAGCTGTAAACAGGTGCTAATTGGGTTTTAGAGAAAAGGTTAAGTACTATTGTTCTATATTTTATAAGTAAAATAGACTCACAACAGACTACAATGATAATAATAAGTGTTTTGTGATGTCTAAGGGAAGAATTGTTACATACCAGGAAGGCTTCATAAAGGAGATGGCATTTGAATGGGCCTATTTCAGATAAAGATTTACCTCAGATAGATTAGACGTACAGATGTCTGGTTTACCTAGTGACCTCAGAGGTTATCTAGTTTGAAGCCCTCATTATATAGATGAGAAGAGAAGCCCAGAAGCATAAGTGACTTGGGGAAGCTCAGACAGTGGTAGAACCACCATTCCAACCCAGGTTCCCTGACTACAAACGGGTAATAACCTGTTTCTAGGTACTAGCCATTACAGCTGAGTGGCATAATGAGCAAATGAATTCCCCTCCTTTGTGGCCTCTGGAATTTTCCTACTTATTACAATTCAACCTCTCCCTCTAAGCCAAAAGTCTCCCCTCCCCAGTTTATACCTAAAGAGAGGTAGCAAGACCCAGAGCTAAGAGGGGAGGTCAGAGGGTAAGACTCCATGTTACTGCTTTTCAACCCCAAAGCTGGTAAAACACTGTGATCTACCCTTACTCCATCTATCCTTACTCCAGAATGATATTACTACTATATGCCCCACTCCTACCATGGTTCCTATAAGGAAATACTCTAGACAGTGAGTCTATTTTATTAATAAAATATAGAACAAAAGTACTTCACCTTTTCTTTGTCCAAAAACTCAATTGGCACTTCTTTACAGCTTTTCCAAGGGAATCTTCAAGGCAAAAGCAGAGGGATGCACTTAGATAAAGTGAAACGGATTGGACTAGAAGATGATGGCTGAAATTTGGTGATACCTACTGCAAAACTGGAATATATATAAACCTTTTAATTTTTTAAATTTTCTGTTTCATAGGCTCTGAAGCTAAAAGCCTCTCAGTTCAGAAAGCAGGAAACTGAGGTTAGGGGATACAAAGTAACTTGTACCAGGTCACCTAGCAGGTAAGTAGGAATAATGACGTAGTAATAGTCAATGTTGGAGGGATTGCAAGAAGAGAGGTACACTGGTACATTGTTGTCACAGTTGTACATTAGTCTAGTCATTTTGGAAAGCAATTTGGAATTATACAAATAAAGAGACTAAAAAATCCATACCCATTGATCCAGAGATTCCACTACTAGGCTTATATTCAAGGATTATTCACTGATATGAAGAAAGTGCCCATATGCACCAAAATATTTATAGCAGCCCTTTTTGTGACAGCAAAGAATTAGAAACAAAGCAGAGACTAAATAAATTGCCGTATATAAATGTAATAGAAAATTACTATGCTACTGTTGGTGAGCTTGTGAACTGATCCATCCATTCTGGAGAGCATTTTGGAGCTATGTCGAAAGGGTTATAAAAATGTGCATACCCTTTGACCCAGCAATACCACTACTAGATCTGTATCCCAAAGAGATCCAAAAAAAGGGAAAAGAACCTGTTTGTACAAGATTATTTATAGAAACTCTTTTTGTGGTATCAAAGAATTAGAAATTGAGGTGATGCCCATCAGTTGGGGAGTAGCTGAACAAGTTGTGTTATATGATTGTGATGGAATGCTGTTGTGCTATAAGAAATGATGAGAAGGATTATTTCAGAAAAAGCTGGAAAGACTTACATAAACTGATACAGAGTGAAGTGAGCAGAACCAGAAGAACATTGTACACAGTAACAGCAATATTATACAAGGAATAACCGCTAATGACTTAGATATATTCAACAATACAATGATCCAAGACAATCCCAAAGGACTCATGATGAAAAATGCTATCCACCTCCAGAGAAAGAACTGATGGAGTCTGAATGCAAACTGAAGCATACTATTTCTCTTTCTCTCTGTTTTCTTCCATAAAATGACTAATATGAGAATATGTTTTACGTGATTGTACATCTATAACCTATATCAGATTGCTTACCATCTCAGGGAGGGAGGAAGGAGTTTTGTTGTTTCAGTCATGTCCAACCCCTCATGACCCCATTTGGGGTTTTCTTAGCAAAGATACTAGAGTGGTTTGCTATTTTCTTCTCCAGCTCATTTTACAGATGAGGAAACTGAGGCAAATGGGGTTACATGACTTGCCCAGGATCATATAACTAGTAAGTATCTGAGGCCATATTTGAACTCTTGAAGATGAGTCTTCCTGACTACAAACTCAGTGCTTTAACCACTGTACCATCTAGCTGCCCCAAGGGGAGGAAGAGAATTTGGAACTCACAATTTTAAAAAACAAATGTTTAAAAATGCTTTTACATGTAATTGGGAAGAAAAATAAAATATTATTTAAAAAAAATTACTGTGCTGTAAGAAATGACCAACATGATAAATACAGAAAAGCATGGGAATATTTATAGAACTGATATGGAGGAATGTAAGCATAGCAAGAAAATAATATACAGAATGACTAAAATAATGTAAATGGAAAGAATAACTACAAAAAATTTTAAAATGAATCTTGCAAAATCACAGAGCACTGCTCCAAATAAGAAATATGAGAAAACACCCCCACCTTGCCCCTTTGCAGAGGTGGGAGGTCCAGG